GAGAGTTCAGGGACTTGTTTGCAAAACCGATGTAGGTAGGAATAGTGCGCATAGTAGTTATAGTAATATCTAAAAGCTCGGGGGCCTTTCTACAAAGCCGCCACCACGCGCGGGCCCCTGGCCTTGGGCCGTCGCAACGCACGCGCAGTCGCACCCCGTTCTGGGATTTTGGGCCAAATTAGTTGCCACCGGCCCTTTTCTTTTTCTAAAGCGTTTTCTAATTTAGTTTTTAAGGTAAACTTGTAAATTCAATATAAATTTGTGTAGTTAACCAAAAATTGTGAAATTAAATTTGTTAGGTTCCTAATATCATGATCTATCTTCTAGTATAATTGGTTCACATAGTTTCATAAGTATTTTCAAGAGTGATCTAATTAATTTTAGGTGCTTAATATTGTTAAAATATAAACTTGTAGGAATTGTTGTGATAATGTGGTGATAATATTGGCTCTGAAACTTTCACAGTAAACTCCTAACATTATTAGGTGCTCACGATAATTTTGTAGATCCACAATAATCAGTTTGCTAAGGTAGCTAAATGAGTTCCAGTTCAAATATATATAAGTTTAATCGATAAAATGCCAAAACACCATCGGATTGTAAAACTAGAACATTTTCCTAGAAATGACGCCTTACTCGACAACATGGATACGTAGCCTAGTATGTTAGTTGTTAGAGCTAGCTCGTTAGCTTATGAGGCGTAATCATATTTTTAAGAGTAACGGTTGTCGTTGATTAATTACGCCTCTGCATTGCATCCAAGTATATAATAGGAACAACAATGGATTCTGGAGTCATCTAGAGTAGCAGAAAAGATGATGCCTTGGTGATCGTGTTGCCATGATGGAATACTAACTTTTGGTAATATCTTACCCAGGTAAGCCCCGGTGCATAACCCCTATTATTCTGCACTTTACCTTATGCTTGTGCATTAAATTTTAAGGAGTTGAATGAAACCCACTTGTGTATATATATCCTTATCCTATGAGTCCTATTAGTATGTCAGGATCATGTAAATTACTATGCTAAAGGATTTCGGTAGAAGTCGAGTGATTATCTGTCACTCACGAGAGATAGAAAAGAAATTATTGTTCTTATTACCATATAACTATCACATGAAATATATATGAATGATAATTGGAGATCGGGCGGACTGTGCTTTGGATTTGGATTTGGACTTGGTTAGGCAGCCGAGCGAGGTTCTAGTTGCATTTGTCCCGCCTATGTCGATTGAGGACCGTCCGTTGTTGTGGATGGTAGTTAGGTTATAGACTTATTATCCTGAGCACATACTTGCTTATGGGAGTCGAGAGACTCGTTGCGCTATTGTCGTGGGTTTTGGCTATTTCCGACCAACTGATTAGGGGCGGGAAAAGGTGGAGGTCTAAGAACCACACTGAGACCGGATCTCAAGTATGGGGGTTTGGAGTCCAAGTTTGGACAGGGACCTAGACCTCTCGATAGGAGTGGAGTGGGTTGGTCTCGTTTGTGCCTAGGGTACAAGCGAGGCATGTGTTTCAGGGTACCTAGCTGGGATACATTGATTCACGAATCGCCGTTTCTGTGAGATGGTAACGACTTGGCTATGGTCTAGCACCGTAGTAAGAACTGGAACATGGAAGGTGATAAAAATTGTTCTGATTGCTTACCACATGTTTGAAAGTAGCATAAGTGCTTACCTATAATGGTTAGCTAATTAACTAAAAATAACTGCTAAAACTTTGAATATAAGAATGCACTATTACTAATACTTCCTGCAAATGCAATAAACCAGCAAGCCAAATAAGCCTTGCATATCCTTGGAGTCTTTTACTTTTATCCTGTCGGGTAAGTCTTGTTGAATACAATCGAGTACTCAGGATTTTATCCCCCCTAGTTGCAGGTGACAGGTGAATGTTAGAGCTGACTCTTGTGTGTGGAAACCTCCTAGTGGGCTCAGAGAGGATTCCTTTCACGCTGCGATCATAGTGTTCACTTATAACCCTCACTAAAGGTTTTATAGGAAAAGATGTAAAATCTGCTAGCATATCTTGTAAATAAATGGCCACTATGTTAATGCTTCACCAGGTCAGTAAATTAATCTTCGTTTCCGCTGTAACTCTAATCATATGTTTATTTTTCGCTGCAAGATAAAACTTGTGAACCTGAAATGTATAAATTCGTTTACATGTAAACTATTTTAATTCCGTTGTTGCATTCAACTGGTCCAAGTACTCTGATATTGTAATAAAGTGATGTAAGAAATGGCCAAGAGTGTTGTAAGCTTTATCCTCTCATTTATGATCCTGACGGAAAATGTAGATTTTCTAGTTCTCCCTTGGGGTGGGCTTGGGCCACTTCCGGGTGCTTAGTGGGCTTCGAAAAGTGTGTTATTTCGCTTCTTGTTCCTTATGTTGCAAATATATATTTTAAGTGTTTTAGATATTTTAGAGGTATGTTGTAGTTGTTTCATAAGGATGTTGCAAAAGTAGATCGGGGGTGTTGCACATATTGTGGATACATGAGCATGTGCTATTCATCCAAAGAAAACAAGCCTTCTCAGCCCAGGCAAATAGCTCTATCTGGATATTGCATATGTTTTCACACATATGTTGCAAGCACGGCCATTCAAGTCATTTATCATAGCAGTTCCAAGCCCAAGCGTCGTCACTATCTATCTCTCGGATGGTTCCGAGGCGGCCGGCTCAAGCTTCTCCACAACAGTGGATGTATGGGTCGAATCGTGGCTATGGATTGCGGCGAAAAATAACTCCAACCCCACCCACCCACCCACCCCCCCCCCCTTATAACGCTCCCCCACACAGTACACACACACAACACAACAACAACAACAACAACAACAACAACGTGAGCATGTGGAGAGCCACATCCAAAGAACCATGGTTTTGTGGTTCCGCCAGCTCCACTACATTGACGGGCTAGAGTAACACGTAGCTAGCAAAAAAAATCCTCCACCCCAAAGACGCCTCCCCCACACCCACACACACACGGTTCCTTAGTACCATAGCCTTTAGAGCAAACTTCAGCACGAGGGTCTCTACTTTTTATTCATGAGTTCCATGTATATAAAGACTTAGTTTTTTATTTACTCCAGTATAAGCTATAAAATCAGAGCTCTAGACATTGCTATATGGGACCCACTCATCATTCACTATTCTTCATTTCCTCTTTCTTGCTCTAATCGAAAGAGCTACACATGTCGGTATAGTCGTATAGAGGAGCCACATCAAGGAAGAGAGGCGGGGGAGGTGGATCCGCCGGGGTGCCTACGGGTAAAGGGGCCTGATAGGGGAGGAGGTCAGGCAGTGAAAGAGGAAGGTGGGAGAGGTGGATCCAGCGTGAAGGTGGCTAGCGATGGGAGCCGCATGGACAGTCAGGCAGGCAGGAGGGTCATCGGGTGGCGGCGTGCCAGGCGGGCGAAGCGTTGGGTGGCATCCGAAGCGCTCAGGTGATTACAGTTCCGCACAAGAGCGAGCCTGAGAGAGTTGTGGTCATCCTAAAATCATTTTTATTTCCAAATACTTACATGCATTACATGCATATACATAGACACATGTCATAAATCTTTTCGACAAAAGAAGCCGGGTACATCAACACGTTACAAGCACTCTGGATTACACAAATATCCGGAAACTGGATTTCATCTAAATTATACCCACGCTATGAATAGCTCTAAATCTCAAAACCAAACATGTACGACGCTTTGCAGTATTGATGACCGCACAAGCAAACACTCGGCAAAAGGCCTGAGAATAGATGCCCAACGAACGCCGGCCAACATTCATGTAGGCGGAGTTAAGAAACTTCCTCTTTTTGGTGTCTTTCTTCTTATTTCTGCCACCGAAGAATGAGGAAGACCGATCTAAAACTTATTCTCCCTAGTCCTTTATCATTGCCAGATCTAACCACGATAAAATGGAGAAGAGATGGAGAAAATTATTTCATGACGGTGACACCATCTCCGACTTGATGTCGCCGTCCTAAAATAAAAGTTTCCATGTCATACCGGTGAGGATGCTGACGCCATAGTTGTCGCCCTCATCTTCAATAGAGCCGCCATGGAGAAAACGATTCCACCCTACTCTCTCGCCGTCACGGAGAGAGGGGAGGATGAGATACATCCCCAAAACCAAAAAAATTTACATGGAGATACCCTAACCCTAAAGACTCGATCTCCTGGAAAAAACTTATTAAAAACGATGGATCCCCGCTCCCTCGGGCCTTCGGCGATGCCGAAGGGGGTCAAAGGGGAGAGGAGGGGCGGCGGCGGCGGCGCTCGAGTCACGAGACCTATGCGGTGTGAGACCCTTTCATCGACACATGTCATAAATCTGTGGTAGGTGTTTAGGGTGTCTTTATGGTATATCCTTACTTTTTTTTGTGTGTGCTCTGCTTTCCATGGAGTGATAACTTTTTGTAACAATCTCTAGACAGATTTGACAAGACTGGATTTGTCCGGAAACTTTTGGAAGTTGGTTTCGAATTTCGTTTGAGGCGGAGTCCTGAGGATTTTACCTCTGCTTATACAAACCACAAGCAGGCGGAAGGGGTAGGTGCGAAGATGTGCGTCCGTTGCTCACTCTCGTAACTCTGTTCCACCGACACCTTTCATTACCTGAAGAAATTTGGTTGGGCATTGTTTTATTCCAAAGTTCATGGCTACGCTAAAAGCCAAGCGGGAGTAAGCAAGACTGCGCGGCTGAGTCAGCTGCCACATGTGCCGCCCCAACAATATAGTATCATGGACGGTTATAACGGCCACGCCAGACAGCTAGCCTCACTCTGTCCTCCAGGGTAAAAAGGAGAGTACAAGTCGCCAAAACTTGTGAACTGTTATGATCAAAATCATGTTGTGCAAGAAATGGAGAGGAGATCACACAAGCCACGACCACAAAAGTCTCTCCAACTTTGGTTTTCCCTTTTCATGCAATCTCCTACTGTTATATTTGCAGCACCTCCTGCAACAACAAGAGCATCATCAGGCGGATCGAGCACCGAAGATGGTGAGCAAGTGCACTCTCCTTGTCATGACGGCGACGGTAGTGATTCTGCATCGGACTCTCTGCGTTGCTGCCTCGCCGGCGACGCCGGTCGCAGCGCCGCCGGCGACGAAGCAGACGACGCGGACCCCCGCGCTGTTCCTGTTCGGGGACTCCATCGTGGACACGGGCAACAACAACGGCATTATCACGACGATACGCTGCAACTTCGCGCCCTACGGTCAGGACTTCCCCGGGCACAACGCCACCGGCAGGTTCAGCAACGGCAAGGTGCCCGGCGACATCGTCGGTACGTTCATCCTTTTTCTTTTTTAGATTATTGAGATTAGCATTAGAAAAAGAAAGAACTTAAAACAGAAGAACTTTTAAAACTGTTATTACTGTCGTTATTGAGTTGGTGCAGCCAGCAGGCTGGGCATCAAGGAGTACGTGCCGGCGTACCTCGGCACAGAGCTCAGTGACTTCGACCTCCTCACCGGCGTCAGCTTCGCGTCCGGCGGCTGCGGCTTCGACCCCCTCACCGCCGAGCTCGTGGTAACTAACCAATCGCCCGTTATTCCAACGTCTCCGAACGAACCTGCAGCAGCTCTGCATTCTGCAATGGCATCATTTCTGATTTCCTGGCCGCGCTGCCTGCGTGCCGTGTCATCAGTCGGTGCTCACCATGGACAACCAGCTGGACCTGTTCAAGGAGTACAAGGAGAAGCTGAAGCGCGTCGCCGGCGCCCACCGTGCCGCCGACATCGTGTCCACGAGCCTGTACATGGTGATCACCGGCACCGACGACCTCGCCAACACCTACTTCACCACGCCGTTCCGGCGAGACTACGACCTCGAGTCCTACATCGAGTTCGTCGTGCAGTGCGCCTCCGACTTCATCAAGGTGCACTGATGGCGACCGAACACGACGCACGCACCAATCATATCACCACTCACTTCGATCAATCGATCTATCTGGCAGAAGCTGTACGGTCAGGGCGCGCGGCGCATCAACATCGCCGGCGCGCCGCCCATCGGTTGCGTGCCGTCGCAGCGGACCAACGCCGGCGGGCTGGAGCGGGAGTGCGTGTCGCTCTACAACCAGGCGTCCGTCGTGTACAACGCGGCGCTGGAGAAGGAGATCAAGCGGCTCAACGGCAGCGAGGCGCTCCCGGGCTCCGTGCTCAAGTACATCGACCTCTACACGCCGCTCATCGACATGATCCAGCGCCCTGACGCCTACGGTGACCTCCTCACGCGCAAACACATACACACAAAATCCAGCCCCAGATCGCGTGTTTTCGCCCGAAAACCACGCCACTTTTAACCTGTCTGTCTCCATGCTTGTTGTAGGATTCGACGTGACCAACCGGGGGTGCTGCGGCACGGGGGTGTTCGAGGTGACGCTGACGTGCAACCGGTACACGGCGGAACCCTGCGGAGACCCCAGCAAGTTCCTCTTCTGGGACACCTACCACCTCACGGAGAGAGGCTACAACCTCCTCCTGGAGCAGATCATTAACCGATACGGGATGTGATAGAGTCATGACAGCGCTGCGCTGGACTATGGCAGCGCGGTCCATACTGTACTTCAGAGTCTTCTGCTGAATCTCTTGTGTCCTGACAACATTTGAGTGTAGTTTGATCTTGTAGCTGAAGTACAGCTACAGCAATCAGTGGTCCAATATCATATCCATGTTTGTATTATGATAATATATATCAGCGGCAGAATTGCTTTTCTGGTACGAGTACAACTGTTTATAATTTTTCTCGAATACGCAAAAGGTTTGCGCATTATTATATTAAGATCGAGAAAGGTGGTTTTTTTACATCGACGCGTCCGGCGAGGCAAAGGTTTTACAATAAGCACATTCCTGCCTAGCAGACTGCGTACATGGTAACTACTCACGTAAAAGACAACCTTTAGCTGCACCAGCATCGATCCATTGGTCGCCGACGAGCTTGATGTGCCTGAGGAGCTGCGATACCGTACTGGAGGCGTTGCGGGAAGCATCTCCCATTTCTTTCCTTCTATAGCTCCCATGCCACAAGTGCTAAAAGAGAGTCTGCTCCGCGCCTTTTGTCGCCAGTCCATGCTACAACTGTTATAATGATACTAACTCTACTCCTAAACGCGACCCAATTCATCAAAAATATATAAATCAGAACAAGAACCAACGATAGTTGACAAACTATTTGGCAAACACACTGAATTCATCCCGGCCTCACAAGTCCTCTGCTCTTAAAGGGGATTTCAACTGACAGAAGGTGGGAACACAGAAAAGCAATGCCTGCAGAATCCTGGATTGATGAAAATGAGGGAAGTACACCACTTTTGCATGAAAAAAGGATATAGGTATAAATAAATGCATAAAAAGTTCATTTTATTATGTGCTATATACAAACTCATGGAATAAAGCAAACTCCATACTCATGACAGGTATAAGACAGTCTAGCACTAGTCTAAAACCTAACCTGACCATAATAATTAAGATGCCAGCTTAGGAGCTGGCAGACAAAACTCATACTAAGGGGCTTGACATAGATAAACTATACACTATAGATGAAAACACTGCACTTTTTGGATCTTCAGAGAAGCTTATTCTGTGCCACCGCTTCACAAAGCTCCTCGTATCGTAAAACTCTGGGCGAGGGTGCAGCTTTACACACAGGTCTTGGCAGCCCTGGTGGCACTGAGCGTCGGAGACGCTTTGAAGGAAAAGGAGTAGGAGACTCCTGGAAGAGAACAGCTGTGATTGGCTTTACATCAACCAGCTTGAGGCGTGAAAGGCGAGCAGCATGTTTTGGAGCCCTTGGTGTCCTTGGAGTGGAAACACGCACGTCCTTGCCATCGATTCTAATGAACATGCAATGTTATCGGAAGAGATTAGAGTGTTACTAAATCAGCACTATCTATTAAGCAAATAAAATGCGGCTAACCTTAAGAAGGGCCAATGCTCTGTTGGAAGAGGCGTTTTGTTTAGGAGCAACTCCTGTCTGCTTCGATTTGGAGTAGTGTAGTTGAAATGGTACTGCCTGGCAAGTTCAACCTAGTTTGCATTACCGTTAAAAGAGAGCTTGGAAATATAAATAAAAGGGAGTAAAGCACATGTTGACTGCTGAGAATGCAAAATAAACATGTAAAATGTCAAGGATGGAATTAACTGAATACATAGATAGTTGGGCATGCAAAAACAGTGGCAGAATTGACAAGAATGTAATGACTTGCTAGTACATAATCCCAAGATGAGAAACTACTAATGGAAGATGCAAGTAGGTCATGTAGCACTATGTCATTTCTTAACGGAAGGGAAAGGAACGTTTTTTGCATGTTGCAATATCAGATAACACAATGTGCAAAAAGTAAGACAACACTATCTGTTTCCACATCTAGTTGACATCAGTTACTGTGCTTCGAAAATATGTCATTATTTCAATGCAGACTGAAATTTGTAGGAGAACAAGGAAATGAGGAAAATGATATTTTTATCTACTTTACAAATAAAGAATGCAACAGCTAAGAGATGATACTTACTGCTTTTCGAATCCTTTTTGAAACATGGAAAACAGCCTTCAGTTGGTCATGGTGCAAGCAACACATGATCTTGATCTTTGCAACAAAACAAAGGCAATCAGGTTTACCACAAATATAATCACTAAAGTTAACAAAAAGGTGGTTGTTTCAGTTACATACCAGCAAATCAAGTGGAAGTGATTCAAGCCTTGAATCACCACCAAACACAGATGCATCAGGAGTCTTTGGAGTCTTTGGCAATATCTGCCCCTTATTACTATCAAATGGCTCAAAATTGAGTCTTGCGGGGGACAAAATTGGTGTGTTGCTTTCTAAGAGAACCTCAGGCTGTGGAGGCAACTCCAGCTCATCTTTCGCATTCAACAGAATCCTTTTCTTCCCGATGTCCCTGCTTGTACTCCTACTATAACGAATCTGAGCCAGGGCACCAGGTTTCAAGTACTTGTTCTTTGCCTGTTTCACCCGTTTCTTCTGCTTCAGTGTCACTGATCCAGATCCCATGGTGATTGCTATTCACACTAAAATTAGAAGTGGCAGGTGTTGCAGAACTTTGATTCTTTTCCAGTTTCATCTCAGCTTCAACAAGGGAACAGAAATTAAGAGAATAGGATAACAGTAAAAATCATCAGTGTCACAGAAGCTTTTTAAGAAATCAGTCACTTTAGATAAATTCAAGTTCCACCTGACAGTTAACTAACTGAAAAGCACCCAGACAGAACCAATGCTCTGCATTAACTATAATGAAAACGAAAAATGACAAGACAGAACAGAACTTGCGTATTCACATGTGTATCCAGCATTTAACTAAACTATAAGATGCCCCTTTTCTGAAAAAGAAATAATGCAAAGATACGACATAGTTAAACATAATTTCGAATATCAACTTGACATAGACGAATTAATTGCTTGATTTCGATATATTTGTTGAACTAGGATTACCAATATCAACATGACAGCTAAACAGAACGTGCCAACACAATAAAAAAGGTCATACTGGAAAAGACATGGGCATATCAGACACAACATCACACAGCAAAATATCTAGAAATGAAGAGTCTTGCAAATTACTTGAAGGACATTGACGTGACTGTTTATTCATGTTCTTTAAGTGAAGCTTATCAGGACGGGATTATTTTCCTGGGGAAATCTGGACATCAATAAAGACTGCCTCAAGCACAACATTTGGATATCAAAGATCCAAACCTTCCATTTTACTCTGTGTCAAGCACATGCACACACAAGGCAGATATACACAAGCAAAGAGCCAAAGACAGAATGTGTAAAACGTGGTCTGGCTGACTGAATAGTAGTAAAAGCTTTTAAAATTTTGATTTGCCTTGTAGCGTCGGTTAAATGTTTAATCCTTGACTAGTAGTACGAAGCAGTACTTACTGATTTTTTTTTCCAATTAGAACGACCATTTAAATGCTTAAACAGTAGTAATACTGCTAATATTACTCCATTTTTGTCAGTTATTGGTAGGATGTACTGATAATTTAATCCTTGGCTAATAGTACTAGTATTAAGGGCCAGTTTGGATACAAAGGGCTAATTGTTAACTGCTAAAAATGAGCACTAGCTGATCAAAATAGGCGAACTAACAGGTGCGCTAAAAACTATCCAAGCCCCTGGCTAGTTGTTAGGCAATTAACTAGGCACAGCCAGCTAAGAGCTAACTAATACTCAATAGACCACTGATAGGGATGTATGCACCTAATACCAGGGATCCAAATACGCTTAGCTGGCTATTTTTTTTACCTTTTAGCTGACATAGCCGATTCAAACATATACACCTAATAGTACAATCTTTTTTTTTTGTAGCAGCGATTAAATGTTCGGTCAATGGTTACCAGTTTGATTACAAAGGGCTAATTGTTAACTGCTAAAAATGAGCACTAGCTGATCGAAACAGGCGAACTAACAGGTGCGCTAAAAAATATCCAAGCCCCTGGCTAGTTGTTAGGCCATTAACTAGGCACAGCCAATAGACCATTGATAAGGATGTATGAACCTAATATTCACGGATCCAAGTACGCTTAGCTGGCTATTTTTTACTTTTTTGGCTGCCATAGCCGATCCAAACATATGCACCTAATAGTACAATCTTTTTTGTAGCAGCGATTAAATGTTCGATCTATGGTTACTTGCATCCTAATTTTGAAGTGAGCATCCTAATAAGTAATTGAAAAGGCTCCCAGTTGCTATGACTTATTACCATGTACAGCAAGTAGAACATTCAGCGGAGACGATTTTGCCGCCCAAAAAAAAGATCCCAAATCTACGAGAGATCTGGAGGGCCCAGCAACTACATGAAATCCGCGCCCCCAGAATCTCCATAGAACCACAGAAGCAGCGATAACGGCACAGCCGGAACACGCAGCAGCAGATCTCGAAGATTAGGACTCAAAGCAGCGGACGCGGCCGCATAAGAATCCGGTCACAAACGAATCACGCTTGAAGAGAGCTAGCACGGGACGCGAGGCGGCGCAGCGATAGAGCTAAAGACGCGGTATTTGGATGAAGCAGGAGTATGAGCGGAAGCATGAACGGAGGAGGGATTGAATGGTTTACCTGAAACAGGTCGCGCAGCTCAGGACCCGGCGGCTCCTCCCATCTTGCGAAGGGAAAGGGAAACCGAGCGCGAGCTAGACTGTTCCCTGACACCGCCTGCGAGCGCGAGCTGGTTGTTCCCAGACACCGCCGGCGAGCGCGAGCGAGGGGATGAATCAACGGGCGCGGCAACCGAAGGCAGACCTAGAGCAATAAATTTTCTCCCCTATTCCCCTGTTTTGCATCGAAACAGAGAGAGAAGGGAAGAGGAACGGCGCTTTTGTAGCAAGGCGCGGGGCGAGGTGGAGGGAAAACCGAAAATTTTTGGCGGGGGTTGGCGCCAAAACCAGGCCGAGCAGGAGCGGAGGACGCGGAGCGGGACCCGCCGCCAGGGTAGGGGAGCTGGGGACCCTGCCGTCGTCATCTAGGGGCGCGGGTAAGCCGTACCCGTAC